AGGTCCGCTCCTAATGGACGGATTACCTGGGGGGATTACACACAGCCCGCTCCGTTTATAACTAGTGGGGGAGCTGGGTTTTTTTACTGTTCTGGGAGAATGGACTGTTTTGGGAGGATGGACTTCTCTGGGAAGATATACACTCGTGGACAAAACTTAAAGAAGTTTTACCTTTTACCATGTATATCGGGATTCAGACAATAACTCTGTAAGATATTACAGTGATCTTTATTGGAGACGCACGAGATAACCAAATGTGAACAGCCTCTGTCTCTTTCAAAAATGACCTGCGACAGTGTGTATACAATGAGTGTATATACATAGAATCGGTCTCACAATATTTCAAGATAGGCCTCATTGACCCTCTAATAAGAAATCAACATATTCCATACCAAAATAGAATAAATCCATCCACCAAGAAGCTTATTCCTCGAGCTTCCTCTGAAGATGCCGGGTCATCAGACAGATCGAAACAATCCTATATCATACTATCTATTCCAACATTTCAAAACAGTTTAGATATGATAAAAATGTTATTATTTCCGTTAAAAAAACATATGTTGTGTTAAATATTAATAGAATTTCTTTGTTTATCGCAGGAAATCCCTACGGCTTCGTGGAACAACAGATAAGATGACGTTTGATTGATTTGGTACAGAATACCCAATTACATATTGGCTAATTGATCCGTACAATAACTGACAGCTGTCGCCTAGAGACTCTGTCTTGAGGTGACAGGCTTCATCCTTAGCTTGGCTCCAATCATTGTATTGTTGCTTCTCACTATACACATGGTATCTTCTTATCTCCACTCAATCAGGGGGTCAAGCCGGTGGAGCTTGATATGGTGTCTGCTGGGGATAAGTAGAGCTTTCATTATCACAGGATTGCAGATTTCGACAAATTGCAAAAAAAAAACAAAAAACATAAAACGCCGTGCGCAACTCCTTTTATTTACTTGATTAAAAGAAAATCTTTCGGATAGGCCCTTCTTCAATTAACTAAAACGTCTAAAAAAGGTAATGAGAAGAGATTATATAGCATTTTATGGGGATATTTATGTGGATAATTTCTCTTCATAATGCTCTATAATCTCTTCTTATTACATTGTTTATACGTTTTAGTCAGCTGGAGAAGACCTGCCCGAAAGCTTCTATTGATCAAGTAAATATAAAGATTTCTTATGATTTTTTTGTAATAAGTAGAGCTCATCAATTGATGAACTAATGCAGTCAATGATGTGGTTTTGGGGTGCATAGCTTCACTTTGTGAGTGAGCAAAAAACTTGCAACTATTATGGAAGGTCACTGTTCGTAGATAACCAGACTTAAGTCTGGAAATCGAGGATTGCTGTTTCCTTGGGAGGACAGAATTGATGTTTTTCCCTTCTGCTTTGTATCTGTCATGTGCTGAAGTAGATTTCCATTCTTGCTGGCGGCATATAGTAGTGAGCAATCATTTATATAAAAAACATTCTTCACTGATTTATTTAATATTATCAAATAAATAAAGCTTCCAGGGCTAAGCTTATTGAGCAACATTTTATTTTCAAGCTTTCGGACGTGTCACAGTCCTTCAACAAGAGTATCACATTAACAAATTAATGATAAATACTTTTATATAAATTATTATTATTTACATATATTTAAATACTTATGATATTGAGAGAGAAATATATTACAGTATTTTTAATTAAAAAGGCATATATTGGATCAAAATATCATTTAATATTAATCAAAAATATCATTTGATCCAATATATGTCTTTTTAATTAAAGATGTATTTATGGATTGCTCTATTTTCAAAATATTACAGTATTTAAAGAAATATATTTTTAAATATTACATCTTAGAGATACGCGTAGGTTGAACGATTTATTTATATTGGTTCTTTTGGTTTACTTCTTTCCAGAAGGAAGTTTAAAATGCTAGAACCGTACAATAGCTGGAAGGAAGAAATTCTAAATGTTTTTATCAGCAATCCCCATCTTTCATAAACCATGTTATTTTAGCTTTCCACACACACGTTTGAAACACGGCAGTAAAATGAACTCGTTAACGTAAAACTTTATAGTAAAGAATCAATTTTTCATTAGTGTTTTATAATATACTAGACGAATGACCCGGGCAACGCCCGGGTTTACCCGATTAAATGTTTTATTCAAACACTATTCGTTACAATTATAAATTGGCGCCGTGGATGCCACTCTTGTGAAACGTCCCGCTCCAAACTTTACAGTCAGATTAGTTACGATATAAATCTTCAAATCGAGCGAGCGTCTATAAATATTTCGATTTAGATCAAGTATTCTAATTATTAAGCGAACTATTATTAATAAAATTTTGAGAAGATTTCGATTTTAAACGTATTTATAACCTTGATAGAGGGCGCTATTCGTGAGCTAAGTAGAATAATTTGAATATATAGTTTTAATATTTAATTTATATATAATTTAAAATAGCCTATCTTTTTCCTCGTATTTTTTTACCTATGTATGGAAATTTTGGTACTGTAAAAAAACTTTGCTTCAATAATATAAAAAAAAACACCCAGGCTAAGTTTCGAACCAAGGTTGTGGAAATACGAAGCCGCACACCTAACCATTAAGCTACGCTTGGCATCATAAATATTCGCATGCAAAGCTATTTCAGGCATTACATATTTCTAACGACCTTTTTGAAATAGGTTTTTGAAACATAGAAATTATAATACTTCAAATACATAGAAATAGAGTGAACACAAATAAAACATACCAAATATTTCGAATTAGAGCAGTTATTTTAAATGGCGAATTAGATCAGTTATATCTAAAAATGAAAATATATAAATAAATAAAACATACCAAATATTTCAAGAGCAGTTATTTTAAAAGGCGAATTAGATCAGTTATATCTAAAAATGAAAATATATAAATAAATAAAACCTACCAAATATTTCGAATTAGAGCAGTTATTATATAAATATTTATATTATATGTGTTATTAAGCGAACTATTATTAATAAAATATTGAGAAGATTTAGATTTTAAACGTATTTATAACCTTTTAGTACTTGATAGAGGGCGCTGTTCGTGAGCTAAGTAGAATAATTTGAATATATAGTTTTAATAATTGATTTATATATATATATATTTAAATAGCTTATCGTCTTCCCCGTTATTTTTTACCTATGTATGGAAATTTTGGTTTGAATTAGTGAACTACTGCGAATTTGTATGCCGGACATACAAACCAACATACAAACATTCATTTTTATATATATAGATATATATTACGATAAATCCCTAAATATATCATTTTAAATCAAATATTTTAAAAGCCTTTTTAAACCTTAATTTATTTCACCAAAATTAATGTCTCCATGTTTCTATTCATTTACTTCTAGAACAGTCTCTATCCAATTAAGGATTTACTTCAACACCAAACGATAATTTCAACAACATTTTACCTATTAACTAAACTAGGCTTAAGTTTTTTTTTTTTTTTCAAGCAGACGATAGAAACTTTTGGCGGGAAAAAAAAAATTCAAACGACAACTAACTATCGGTTACCTGCCATGAGGAATCGATAATTCCCATTGTAGCTAGAAGCAATTTTACCTGGAAAATGTGAAAGAAATAGAGTTTTTTTATGCGTGGTTAGGGTTAACGAGGACAGCATCATGTCTTAATGAGGAGAGGCGTCTAACGAAGGCCTTCGTTTGGTGCGGGGGGGGGAGGAGAATGGTCCAAAAGATAATTTGTTGCTCAATCAGCACAAAAGTTGGGGTGGATAATGGCACCACAGATTATTGGATTCTGGAAAACGGATATGGAGATTTGATTTTCCTTCTTAAAGGTCGTTCCCTTTAATGGTTTGTTCTTTGAGTTGGTTTCCCCCGTTACATTTTGTGCGCCATATCGCTAATATTTACTCTTCCAAATTTTATTTTATATTTTTTAATATAATTCACGGATTTTTTTGTTGATATTTTTTGGACATCGAGATCAAGGCGTAATTTGGTTATATGTATATATATATATATATATACTCATGGACAAAACTTAAAACTTAAGAAGGTGAAAAGTCTTCGATATCGCCGGTCGTCGGTTTTTTTTTTTTTTTTTAGACAAAGGCAATGTTGTTCACATTTTATTATCTCGTGTCTTCAATAAAGGTCACTGTGTATCAAATATATTTCAGAGTTATTATCTGAATCCCGATATATATATATACTAAAACGTACAACTTCTTTAAGTTTTGTCCATGAGTGTATATTATGCTACTAACCTCTTCTTCTAAGTTCTAAAATTGTTTTAAATAAATATCATATAAATATAAAAACACACATATAACAACAAAACTATATATATAACACAACGCGCCTCTTGTCTATTGATGCTTTTTTTTTCCAATTCGAGTCTCTTGTCCGGATCACTTCACGGAACTAAAATCAAAAACATAATACAAATAACACTGATTGCAACAGGATGATGAAGCAGTCACGTAATGCCATATACAAGATTCTTTCAAGCGACAAAGAGGAAAATTCCAAGGAAAGGTATACCCTCCTACATAGACCAACATCCAGATGGGAAGTTTTGAATCATACAGTGTTGTATACATATTAATTAATTGTTACCACAGAGTGTGTGTAAGCTCACAGGTAAATAGGCGCTAACCGAAACAGAAAAAAGTTCCTTTGTTTAATATTAGTTTCCCTTTTATATTTTGTTCTCTCTCTTGTAAATCAATAAATATAATGTTTAATTAATAATTCTTGGAATCAGTTTCATTAATAATTCTAAGCAAAGTCAACATACAGAAAATGTATAATACTTGAAAATAACATTATCTATATTGAAGATTATAAAACACAACATTTTAAAATTATCCCGCATGTGTTTCTTTTGAACGAAAAATAGAAATTTATTTTAAGGAGAAATAACGATTATTTCTAACCTTAGGGATGAAGTATGAAAGGATTAATTGTGAAGAGTTATGATAAACGGAAAAATAAAGTGTTCAGGGATGGGAATCGAACCCACAGTGTTCCGCTTACCGGTCAGATGCCATGTCCACTAAACATATTTTCCTGGACATATTTTCCCGTTCGTAAATCTTCTTATATATATAAAAATCAATGTTTGTATGTTTGTTTGTTTGTAGGTTTGTTTGTTTGTATGTCCGGTATACAAATTCGCAGTAGTTCACTAATTCAAACCAAAATTTCCATACATAGGTAAAAAAATACGGGGAAGACGATAGGCTATTTTAAAAAATATATAAATCAATTATTAAAACTATATATTCAAATTATTCTACTTAGCTCACGAACAGCGCCCTTTATCAAAGATTAGATTAAATTATGCTGATGCAAACAAATAGATAATGTTAATAACAAACAATTATTTAAAAAATCTTATCTAAATATATATCACTCGGGTAGATATGCACACGGGTCAATCCCAGGGCGAAGCCCGGGTCACCCGTCTAGTTGATTATATAAAGTAATTTATAATACAATCCTAAACCGCATTATATTGTATTATAAATTGAAGATTATCACTAAAGGTATCAAACAGTTTAAAAGAAACTTAACTCCCTCCCGCTAACAAAACACTAAAAAGAACTGGTGCGTCCAAATAACATCATGAAACTTTCCATCTATGAAAGCCTACTGAAACTAAAGTTAAACTAGATACGGGGAGAGTAAGTTCTGTGGGAGGGCACGTACATAGATAATTGGTAACAGATCTCGGGAGGAAGGAAGTTGAGAAGAAACATAAACGGGAATTAAGGAGATAGCGCGGGGTGTGCTATAAACCTGGGATTTGATTGGTTAGTTCTTATCTCACTTGGTTTAGTTTAATGGCAGTTTGGCCGACTCACACTTTCCAAATATACGCGGACGCGGTCATATAAATATATATATGAAAAAATAGTACAAATGTGATATTGTACTGGGGTAAGGTGCATAAATTAAGAAAAAGGCATTGAGTGCCAACAGCCCGAAACGCTTCCGTGGTTAGCTTTTCTTGATTAATCAAGAATGGGTATTTGGCCAATTCTAGAATAATTAATAATCAACGAGAATAGTTGATATTTATTCCGATAGATGGCGCATGCCATCAGCAACTTTCAGTTGCACGATAAGGAGATGCCTTTTTCTTAATATATATATATATATATATATATATATATATATATATTTTCTTGATTTATCAAGAAATTGGGTTGGCCAAATATCAGGGAACAGGCTAAATCAATGTTTAGTTGATTTCTGTTCCACCAGATGGCGCTCTGCCTTCTGTAAAGCACATGTGCTCCTGGTCAGGATATGCCATTTTTTATATTGATTTCAACACCTGATCTTTTATCTTTTATTTTTTTATTTCGTTTTTTAATTCGTTTTTTTCGTTTATTATATAGGGGAAACCAGCAAACCACTCAAAGATCGTATAAATCAACACAAATCAGGACTAAGGAATTACAACCCACTATCTCTCCTTGTTGATCATGCACTAAAAAACAACCACACTCCGGATTTCGAAAATACAGCCATTTTATACCAGAACATTAAAGAAAAACACTGCCGATTGTTCTTAGAAAGCTGGGCCTCTGTAGAAGACAAAGAAAGCATAAATAGGAAAATTGATTTACCGGACATCTACACACCATTTAGATCTTCTTAATTTTTTTGTCTAATTATTTTAATTTCAATTAGTTAATTTTTTATTTTTTAATTGACTTATTATGTACTATTTTAAAGGGAGAGGTGCCGTTTTTTAAATTTCATAATTTGCTTTTTTATTTTTTTGCTTTTTATAGCACTTTATATTTTGTTGTAATACCCGCGATTTCTTAAATTATATTTTCACACATTAGTAATTACCTGTAATTAATACATACCACTTGTTTAATTATTTTTACATTTATCGCTTCAAAACGCAAAAGTATTGATACATTAAATATAGAACTTTTTACATGCAATAATTTAAACTTTTTAGTTTCCATTTTTTAATTTATTTTCTCATTTATTCATCCTAAATTGTTTTAACTTCCATTTTAATGCATTTTTAAAAAAATATTTTTTACTTATTTATAAATCGATCTCCTAAATTTTGAAATGAATTTTTTAAATACCCACATTTTAAAAAACTTTTTATAAGGGGTTCTTACAGTTTATTATTTAAATCATTTTAAATTTAGTTTCAAATGTTTTAATATATACATATATTTTTACATTTATCTCTTTATGAGTTATTAATGAATTATTTTTAAATACTTTTTACAATTTTTTAAATATAAGATAGAACTTTTTCCTTTTATATTTTAAGATATTTTACATTTTTGATTGCATTTTTTATAATATATATATTTTTTTCATGCACAAATTTCTCCCACCTACTCTGTATTTTAATTGATTTCAACTGTGATATTATAACACTATGCGGCGCTGAGATTGTGTATACAAAAATGTAATGCCTCGATAAAGGTTGGCGTTCAGCCGGCCGAAATATTGGCAAAATAAATATTTTATAAAATCCAAAATATGCCTTTTATTATCTAATATATATATATATAAAATATATATATATATATATGTTGCTCCTGGTCAGGATATGCCATTTTTAATATTGATTTCAACACCTGATCTTTTTATCTTTTATTTTTTTCTTTCGTTTTTTCATATATATATATATATATATATATTTCATATATATAAAAATAACATGTGCTTTACAGAAGGCAGAGCGCCATCTGGTGGAACAGAAATAAACTAATATGTGTGTGTGTTTTGAAAATAGAGCAACCCATAAATAAATCTTTAATTAAAAAGGCATATATTGTTTCAAAAAATCATTTATTTTACCAATAATTCAGTTGGCTGAACGCCAAATATATGTGTGTGACCACTGTATATGTATGATTCTACTAGAACCTTTTTGGAGTCCCAGTATATTCAGAAAAACATAAAAAAGAATCAACAAAGTGGATTACGAAACACTTCTGAAACTTTCTCCCACTCAATAGTATGATGCATTTTTAATATTTGCATATATTATTAAGAATATGCAAAATACTCGCCTTTCATTATTGATTTGCATATAGTTTTAATCCACAAATTGATTTTTAAAACCATGCATAGGAACAAATATTTTATTTAGAGAAGCAGCGGTTTTTCGTTTTTATTTACTTTTTATTATCACAATTATAGCAAGGAGGTTTAGATTTTTTTTAACGAATGTTTGAAAAATGTTTAGTATATATTATATATTACAATGTTCTCTCTTCGGCTGTAATTTCTCTGCTTTTGTCCTTGTGTCCTATGACATCATACTTGTCTATTTTTGAGCTCTTCTTTTTATTTCTTCATAGCTTCCCATCCTGTATATCAGTCTTATTCTTTCTACCATTATTTATAAAATTCATTTTACCATCTATATACAGAACAATTTTATCTCTTAATCTATGTTTCATCCAATTCTTTTTTTTTTCTTTCTAGTGACTCACAACATTCCCAATCTTCCCAAGATTATGCAAAAAAGTACATATAGGGCTATCTAGCGATAAAGACTGTAAATACACAAACTCCTTACTTTTATTATATTGAAAACTAGTTCTAAAAGATTATTTTACATTGAAACATCAGAAACCTGATGGGAGAAGGCTTGGATCAACAGTAGTAATAAACTCTCTCAGAGAATTGGCTGTTTAATCTCCAGAACGCTCTCTAGCGGTGTCAATAATAAGGGATCCATGGTAAGTTCACTCATTGACAAAACTTAAGGAAGTTGTAACTTTTAGCATGTATATCGGGATTCAAACAATAACTTTGAAAGATATTTGAAATACAGTGACCTTTATTGAAGGCCCACAAGATAACCAAGTGTGAACAAAATTGCCTCTGTCTTCTTCTTAAAAAAAACACGACCGGCGACATCAAAAATTTTCCGCTTTCTTTATTTCTGTCCACGAGTATATATATAGACAAATAAAAAGAGATCCGTGTAGAAATGTATTTAAGCATTCATAAAAAGTATAGTTAAAAGTACTTATACAATTTGTGATGCGAAATTTTTTAATACTAATGAGAATAAAAAATAGTTGAAACATAGTCTCAGAATGTTTGGAAAATATATGGCTACTTCTCTCTCCCTCTCTCTTTCCCGCGGTGGGCGCCACCAATGAAGACCTTGTATATATTTATATTTATATATATATGTATATTTATCAATTATTTTATCTATTTATGTCTATTTATTCCTATATATATCATTTAATAATCTTATTTATTCAATTTAGTAATTAACCATATATAATCTTATATGAACATTGTAATAAATCAGTTTCTCAATCTCTCTCTCTATCTCAAAACCAATTTTTTATTTAGTTCCTTATGTTTCAATAACACGCTGTCACTCCCCTTCTGTCCATAGCCTCAGAATGTATAAATTCGATAGGGGGAAATACACTGTGTTATTTTTTAATATAATAGATTATTTTAAGAAAAGCTTAAAGATATATAACAACAACAAGAAGAACAAAAAGATATATAAAAAATAGGTAGAGAGGAGGTTCACAAAAGACCACCAACCTAGGGAGTTTCTATCCAAATTTTCCGCCCAGCTGGATAGATAGTTGGGAGAGTGATGTGATTAGAGGGAACGCCTCGGTGGCTTGATTCCTTTCATAGCTCGGAGGGAGGGGAAAGATTCGGAGAATAAGAAGGGTTATTATTAAATTTGTGGATGGAGAGGTAGGTATGCTGTTCCGGTAACATCTTTTTCCCTCGACTACGTAAAAGACTTGGTACAATGATATTTTACCTCTCCTATATATACATATTGTGAAAAAATAAGATTTCTGTTGATTTTTGATTATCTTGAGGATTATGCTATGGTAATGCAGTCGTGGTTAAAATCTTTAAAATATAATAATAAAAATAATGAAGATTATAAATAGCTTTAATTGAGCTTATGGAATATAGAAAACATAATTTGAGAAAGGTATGCCTGACTTAAGGCGTAAGAATTAAAAAAATGAAAGGCTTATTTACATAATTTACAAAAATATTTGTGCCGGCCATCGGGAAAC